TTGTCTGTCTGTCTCTTTCTAAAAAAAAAAAAAAAAAGAATGCTCAAAGCACTTGTAGGTGGCATGGTGATTAAGGGCGTTGGACTCCACATGGCCAACCCGGATTGAAATCCCAGACCTGGTGGTTTGCTTTCTCACTTTCCCTCTCTCTGTCCCGCTCTGGTCAAATTGAAATAAAGTTAAATAAAATAATTTTCTTTTAAAAAAGTACTTGTGAATAAGAAGTGTCTATTTTTATGTATAAAAACTGAGCCTTATGTGACAGAAGGGCAGTTTCAGTTCCCACCGTTGCAAAATGGGGCGGTGAGTGTACAGGGCGGGAAATTCCCATCTCTTAGCAGACTGAGAATTCCCTGATCAGAAACACCAGGTACCACGCATGCCTCGGGCCTAGGGGATCCCCATAGGAGCTGCTCACCGGGCCATTCAGAGCGATCCCGAAATCTGGGCCCGGCCTCTCGCCGCCCAGGAGTGCCCGACGGCGGTGGCGCCCGCGTCCGCGCGCCGGGAGCCGGAGTAGGGGCAGCAGCGGCCGCGGAGCCCTGCTCCTCCTGGCCCGCTAGGGCACGCCCATCGCGGAGAGGCTCTCCCAGACAAATCACACAAACGTCCATTCCGAGAGCGATCTGCCTCCTCGGAAGAGGACACCGTGGGGTCCCGCCTTCCCCTTAATCCCGAGCGGGAGGCCAGGTCTCTCGTGGCAACAGCATCTAGCGACCCGCCCTCTACGCAGGCGCGGAAAGGGGCAGGCACGCGGCTTCCGCTCGCGCCCGGCGTCTCCCGGGAGCTAGGGGCGGGGCTTACGTGATGGCGTCACGGGGCGGGGCCTGGGGCGGCGGGAAGAGGAGGCCTAAGGATGGAGGAGCAGGCTGGCTGCAGCGGCGCGGGAGAGCGCGGGGCCCAGGAATGTAACATTAAAATAAAAGATGTCAATGATAACTTCCCAATGCTTAAAGAATCTCAGGTATACCCACTGCTTTTTGCAGGATTGTTTTTACATATATTTAGTAATACATCATCATCACAATTTGGTATTTTCCTATTTGTTGGCTTTTAAGATCTCTACACTTTTCTTTAAAAATAAGTGTCTTGGGACCAGTAGTTGGCATAATGGCTATGTCACTAGACTCCCATGTACTCAACCGTGGTTTGAGTCCTGGACCCGGTGGCTTAAACTCACGCCAGGTGCAGGTGCATGCGTGCCCAAGATCCCGAGAGGAGAATGGAGCAGAAGGAATTGCAGCATGGTCAATCCCCCCTGGGGGGTGATTTCTTGCTTTCTGTCTCTCTGTCTCTCTCTGTCTTTCTGCCAAGCACGCATGCCTTATAGCAAAAACCTCTCCAAAAAAAAGAAAAATTTCTTAAGCAATATAAGAATTTAGTGGCCAGCAAGAAGGTATACCATTTAGGATAAATAAAATTCTGTGGAGAATGATATGAAGGTTCCTCAAAGTCCTTCAAATAGAACTCAGCAATTCCAGTCCTGGGTATCTACCCAAAGGACAGGAGAATGCTCAGTTGGAAAAGTGCTTGCACAACTATATTTATTGCAGCATTATTCACAATCATAACATGGAACCAATCCAAATGTCTACAAACAGATGAATGGATTGAAAAAATGTGGCACATATACTCCATGGAATACTATTCAGCCATAAAAAAACAACAAGACCCTGGTATTTGATAAAAAGTGGATGAATATGGAAGACTTATTGCTGAGTGAAGCAAATCAGGCTATGAAACAGAGACATTGTATGTCTCCACTTAACATATACCAACTGTCTGTACTCTATGGTAGAGACTGAAAGACTATAAGATATAAAAGCATTAAAAATCAGTATAGACACAAGGACAAAGTAGAAGGAGAGTGGGAGAAGGGAAGAGTGTAGGAAAGGAAATTTGGGAGGAAAAATAGAGAGGTAAGATCTTTGTGGAACACGGATATAGTTTATTACCTTTTGATGAGGATGTCTATGGTGGTCTCAACTGGGCTGGGCTGAGGTATATATCATGCTGGGTAAATCTAAATGATGTATAGCAATTTAATGTATGAATAATAATAAAAAATATATAAGTAAAAAAATAAAAATAAATTAAAAAAACGAAAAGGCAAAGTAAAACAATGAACAAGCAGGGTCAACAGGTGGCATAGTGGTTAAGGCACTGGACTCCTATATAGCTGACTGTGTTTTGAGTCCTGAACTTGGAGGCTTAAAGCACACCGGGCATGTTGTGTATGTGCCGAAAATCCCGAGAGGAGAATGGAGGAGATAGGACCGCTGTGTGGCTAAACAGCCTGGGGCTGACTTCTCACTTTCTGTCTTTTTAGCCAGTGCTTGAACCCTATAGCAAAAATCTCTCTCTCAAAAACAACCAACCAACCAAACAAAAACAACCAAACAAAAAACACAAGTAGATGTGCTGTGTATGTAAGGACTTAAAAAAGTTTGTGTTGGGCGAGTACAGATGGTGACCTAGCAGTAAAAGATGTACCACTGAAGCTGACCCACATGGGAAGTTCCAGGTTCAGGTCTGGGTTCTTCCTGAGTAAAACAGGCATGGTGTGCCTGTGATCCCTGCTGGCCGAGGCTGGGGGTGGATCACAGCGTCAAAAACACTGTTGAAAGTGTTTTCTCTCTCTTCCTCAGGGGAAGAAATAAACTTCCAAAAGTTTGTGGGAGAATGGAATTAAAGTGTGAGTTTATTATAGTTTAAAATGTTTAAAATCTGTATAGTCTTTTTCATAGTGTTTATTTTCCATGAAGACCCCCCCCTTGTAATAGGTGGTCACAGGTGCTGTGGTGAAAACGTCATGTCAACAACTATGGTGGTCAGGGAAGGCCTCTGATGAAGCTCTGGTGTTGTTTGAGCAAAGACCTGGAGTCCAGAGGCCAGCAGGTAGCTTGGTGGTTGAAGCACTAGACTCTCACATGGCTGACCATGGTTCGAGTTCCTGACCTGGAGGCTTGAAACTAATTCTGAGTATATGTGAGTGTGTGACCAGGGACACAGGAGGAGAATGGAAGAGAAGGGATTGCAGCGTGGCCATCCCTCCTGGCACACGCGCCCAGCGTGAGTTTAAGCCACCGGGTCCAGGACTCAAACCACAGTCCGCTACATGGGAGTTCAGCAACATAGCCATTATGCTAACTACAGGTCCCTAGAATTATTTTTTATTTAACTTTATTTATTTATTTATTTATTTATTTTAATTTGATCAGAGAAGGCTAGGATGAGAGAGAGGAAGAGTGAGAAAGCAAGCTGCCAGATCTGGGACTCGAACCACACTCAGCCATGGAGGTGTCCAGTGCCCTTAACCACCACCCCGCCTGCTAGCCTTCTTGCTCATTAATTTCAAAGAGAGAACTATTTTTTTTTTAAGAATTATTTTATTTAACTTTATTTATTTCAGTTTGGCCAAGGAGGGACAGAGTGAGAGAGAGAGAGAAAGCAAGCCTCCAGGCCCAGTACTCGACCCATGGTTGGCCATGTGGGAGTCCAGCACCCTCAACCACCACGCCACCTGCTGGCCCCAAAGAGAGAACTATTGATCTGACTAGGCCACTAGGCTCTCCACTCTAACAGCCTAATAGGGCCGTAGGATGGACCGTGGTTTCCGTCTAGCCAGCCTTGCTGTGCACGTGGCTCAGGTCTGCAGGAACCGGCAGGTAAGGGAGGAGAAAGGGGCTTGGTTGCACCCGTGTCTATTAGCCCAGATGATGTCAGTGCTGTGTGTGCTGGACTTCTGTTGTGACAGGCAGGCAATGTTGTAGCAATGTCACTTTGCTCCAGATGGCCTGCTCTGGCTCTTGGCCAGCAACAACAGGTGTTTCTCTGAGGCTTTCGGTATACAAATCTCATGCACTTAACTTTCAAATGGCACTTGGGCGCCTCATTAAATTTAAACCTGCAACTAATTGGCACATATTTTTATTGAATGTTTAATGTTCTGAGCAAGCTCTTATGGTTGTCGTTAAGTGCTTTCTTTTGGGTAGTGTGAAGAAGCCATATCAATATTTTTCTTTGCATTTTCTTTAAAAACAGGGTTGAAAAATACAGGCCAGTAAAGCTGAATGAAATTGTTGGGAATGAAGACACTGTGAGCAGACTCGAGGTGAGTGGCTTTTTTCTTTTTTTTTTTTAGATAGATTTTTGCGGGCCGATAGGTGGTGTGGTGACTAAAGGCATTGGATTCCCACATGACCACAGTTCGAGTCCTGGACCTGGCAACTTCCTTTCTCACCTTCCCTTTCTCTCTCTCTCTTACTCTGTCCTTCTCTACTCAAATTAAAATAAATAGTCAAATAAATCTTAAAAAAAGAAAGATTTTTGCTATAGTGCGCATGTGCTCACTGGAAAGACAGAAAGCGAGAAATCACCCCCCAGGGGGGATACATGCCAAAATCCCTTCTCCATTCTCCCCTCAGGATTTTGGGCACACATGCACACACGCCTGGTGTGAGTTTCAGGCCGCCGAGTCCAGGACTAACCGGGATCGACCTCGTGGGAATCCAGTAATATAACTATTATGCCATCTGCTGGTCCCAAAGAGTGACATCTTAAAGATGACCCAGTGTCCATGTTGTGGCTTTGACAAGGACAAAGACTTCACAGTCTTTCCCAAGAAAGTGATGGGAAGGATGAGCCATGAGCCCAGAATCCAGAAGACTTGAGGGATCAAGATGCATGTAGTTTGGGGAAGACTGGAGCTGTAGTGGGTAATATCAGTTATTTACAGGACTGGCTTATTTTTATTTATTTATTTATTTATTTATTTATTTTTTAGAGGTTTTTGCTATAGGGCACGTGCGCTCACCAGACAGAGAGAGACAGAGAGATAGAAAGCGAGAAATCACCCCCCGGGGGGATG